GAAGGTACTCAATCTCACACCCTCACAGATTTGGACCCTTCCTATTCCTACTTGAGGAGGCTCTGAGGCATCTTCCTACCGCCCCCTCACCTCAGGGAAAGCAGGGGCCTGCTCACTTTCCCAGAAGCTCTTCTTCCTCGTCCCCAGCTCCCACTACCCACCGTGTCGCCACGCCTTCGGAGCAGCACCTGCCTCTTTTCCCCTGGACTGAATGGCCGAGGCCTCTAACGCGCCCCTCGGGTGAAGCTCGGGCCTCCTTCCCTCAGCAGAACCCACTCTCCCGCTCCCCCGCCAAGCTTCCGAGGGTCTCCTCCCGGGCGGGGACTCAGGCTTCCTTCACCTTTCGTCCCCCCCCCCCCCCCCCCCCCCCCCCCCCCCCCCCGCGCCCCGGTCAAGCGCGACCGAGGCCCCTCCCCAGCTCCGCGTCGACGGGCCTGCTGCTCCCCGGGCCCCGCCTCTGGGGATACCCCGGGATCCCCGGACCCCTCGCAAGGGTCCTGGGCGTCCGGGCCTCTCAGCCCCGAGTCGCTCCGGCCCCTCCGGGCCCCTCAGCCTAGGACTTCCGGGGCCCTCGGTCTGGGGGCGCGGGGCCCCAAGGCGCCCCGCTCGCCGGCGCCCGCCGCCCTCGGCCAGGGGCCGAGCCCGGGCGGCGCGGCCGGCCGCGCTGGGGGCGGCCCGGCTGCTCGGGCGGACCCAGCGGCAGCGTCCCCCCACCCCCCCGCGGCGCCGCGACGTCCGCTCGCTCCCCGGCGGCGGCGGCGGCACGCACAGGGCGTGGGGAGGCGCCCGCGGAGGCAGCAGCCCCCCGCCCCCTGCGCGCCCGCCCGCCCTCGCCGGCCGCCGCGCGGCCCCCGCGCCTGCCCCCCCGCCCCCACCCCACCCCGCGCCCGCGCCCGCGCGCCCACCCCTCCCCCTCCTCACCGTCTCCGTCGGGCGGGCGGGCGGCGAGCGGCCAGGGCGGGCGGGCGACGGAGCATGCGCAGAGGCCGCCACGGCCGCTATGCCACCGCCGCCGCCAGGCCGGGCTTCAACACTTCCGGCCGCCGCCGTCGGCGAGCTGGCGCCTTAAAGGGGACGCGTCCCCATTGCGGTCCCCGCGGAGGATGAACCTCGGCCGGAGGGATTTGAGTGAGCTTTTACCTGAGCAGGACTCTTCTGCTCTGGAGAGTCAGTATTGGAAAGGGCTCTGGGGACCCTAATAACTCTTCTGCCCCCACTTCACGGTAAGGAAAAAGAGGTCTAAATTAAAGAGTTGCCTCATCCACACTCAGAAGCTGGTCTCTCGACTCCTCTGGAGGACTGCCCGTTTCACCCTCCCAAATCCAGTTTTATGGAGTTTACATGTTACACACCGTCAGGATCATGACCAACTATCAATTCGGAATCAAAAACCTGTTTGAGTATAGGGTCAGTAAGTGGTCAGTAAGAGCAGACTGCTTGCATTCTCTGAGCCACACGTGTTTGCCAAGCTTTGCCTGGTTGTGAGGTTATGGGTTCAAGTCTTAGCTTCTTGGGGGGGGGGCGTTATTTACAGCACCAAGTGTGTATGTCGCCTAAGGCATAAGGTTGTTGTGAGTATTAAAAGAGGTGATACTTGAAAAGCGTTTAGGAAAACTTCTGGGGCCAGTAATAGTAACTAGCAAATATTAAGAACTTTCTGTATGGATAAGCGTTGGGGAAGATGCTTGGTCTCCTATAATATTCCCAGCAACCCTACTAAGCAACTTTTTCTCACTCCCCATTTACAGACTAAAAACAAAAACAGGGGCGCCTGGGTGGCTCTGCCTTTGGGTCAGGTCATGATCTCAGGATCCTGGGATCTAGCTTCTGGGGAGTGGGGGGTCTCTGCTCAGCAGGAGCCTGCTTCCCCCCTCTCTCTGCCTGCCTCTGTGCCTACTTGTGATCTCTCTCTCTGTCAAATAAATAAAATCTTTAAAAATAAATAAAATAAAAACAAAGCAAAGCAAAACCAAACCAAACAAAAAAACCCAGGAGAGGGGCAAGAGTAGTTAACTAATTCCTCAAAGTCAAAAAGTAACCTGTAAATGGTATAGATGGGCAGGCCCTCTATTCAGGCCCTCTTTCTCCTGAGTCCAAGGCTATAATCGCTGAGATGGTTGCTCTCCTTATTAGGAACAAATGGGGTGGTGATATGGAGCACTTTTTTAACAGGAAAGGAGAATTGCTTCCCCATCTTGCCTCCTGTGAGTCATCTCTGCTGGATGTCCCCACCACCATGAAGAGGTACAGGAAGTCTTACAAGTTCTTGATTCAAGGAGAAGCAAGGAGACCCATGAGTCAACAATAGAACTGAATTTGGCTTAGGGACGTTGGCCAACTCTCATCTTACTTAAACCTCTATTTACTCATCTGTAAAATAGAGATGATTTTCCTACTGTGCCTGCCTCTCAGGGCTGTTTCCAGGATCAAATGAGATGTAGTACCCACATTAGTATCTGTTCTTATCATCAAGATAAGATGATAACTTACACATTATCAGGTGGTTTTGAATATAACAGGGCAGCCTGGAGTTGTGACCTATGTGAACTGTTCCTTAGTGGGACCATCTGTATCTTTTGATCATTCATTGAACACTCATTGTACATTTACTAAAACTGTCCTTCCCTTCCAGAAGCTCTTGGCCCACCTTCTTCAGACACAGAACTGAAAACATACAGAATGGTACAGTGTGATAGATATCCTAGAGATATAAACTAAGCACTGAAAAACTTCAAAGGGCTCTCTCTGGAGAATTCCTGAAAAGCTTTAGAGAGGAGGGGGCATTTGAACCTGGTCTCAGAAATAAATCTAAGGGAAAACGGGGAAGAACATTCCAAAAAGCATATGTGCAAAGACAAAGAAGAAATGATGAGAAATGGGCTGAAGAGGGAGGCTAGAACCAAGTGGTTGTCCTAAGGAGTATGGAGCTAGCCTGCAGATTTGGGAACCCAAGGAAGGTTTAATTCCCCGCCATCTGCACTCCTAACACCCAGCCCAGCCCACAGGACTTGCCTGGACCACTGCAGTTGATTTCCTAGCACTCAGCCACACTATCCACCTCACTCCCAGATGCTCTCAACCCTACACTCCTAGAGGTGGTAATCTTTTTTGAAGAGATAAAGTCAAATGTGACTTGCCTGTGAAACACTCCTTAATAGCCTCCCATTGCACTTGAATAAAACCCAGTACCCCCCACCCCCCACCTACTGACCCAGCACTACCACCAGGCCGACCAGGCATGATCGTCCAGCCTTCCTATTTCTGCCCTTCACTCAGTGTGCTCCAGACATCCTGGGCTCCTTTGTGTGTTGGGAACCCCCTTAGGGCCTTGTCACTAGCTCTTTCCTCTACCTGGAAAGCACCTCCCTTCAGTCTTCAGAGCTCATTCTTGTCCTTTGTTCCTCCAGACCTTCCCCTGGCTCCCAACCTAAAGTGGGGTCCCCAGCCGCATTCTTTTCCCTCATCGCTAACCCCCAGTTCCATCAGAGTAACTGTCATGTGCATCTAGGGGACAAAGACCACTTCTGAAAAAAGTCCCCTGCCCATGCCTACTTTCTCTCAATCCCCCTGCTTACTTTGATAGCAATCCCCACAATTTGAAATGCCCTAGCTTTCTTATTTACCTATTTTGGGTCCATCTGTATCATTTACCCCTCATAGTATTTGGAGCAGAGTTTGTACATGGCAAGTGTTTGTTGACTGACTAAATGAATGAATAATCAGAAAAATCAGAAGGTATGGACTGGGGAGGAGAAAGACCAGGAAAAGCAAGCTATGTCAGTGAGACTGCTATGATCATCCAGCAAGAAAGAGGGGGGCCTTCTGCAGGGCAGAGCCAGAACACATCCTCAGGGAGCCAGTGTGCTCCAGACAGTTTCGAAATGGAACCAACAGGTGTTAGCGACCAACTAGATGTGGGGGATGAAGGAAAGAAAAAGACAATGATGACTTCCCAGGGAAGGAACAAAGCAGGAATAGTTCATTGGGGTTGAGAGAAAGTAGAAATGGTGAGTCACTTTGGACTTCTTGAGTGTAAGGTGTTTGGAGGGCCATCCAAATGAAAGTGCTCAGAAGGAAGTTGGATTGACTTGTCCAGGCAAAAGTCCAGGGTTGGGATCTAGGAACCGTCACCTGGATGGGATCATAACAGGCCAAGAATGGATGAAGCCACCCAAGAAGAGTGTGAAGAGAGGGAGGGGGCTAGATGCCCCAAACTTGGGAACATTAAGCTGAGAGGAACCTGCCAGGACCAACCAGAGGTGGTCAAAAATGGGGAAGAAAGGAAGTCCAGAGGGTAGGCAGGGATCTTACAGAAAGGGGAAAGCACCAACCATATCTACATACTACAGAAAGCTCTGGCAGGGAAAAAGGAGAAGCCACTGCATTTGGCAACTTAAGACTTGTTGCTGATCCTTCCAGGGTGGGGTCACCTCCAAGGTTGGGGAGGAGGCCACATTGTTGCAGATCAAGTAGTAAATGGGAGAAGTGACAGAACCAGCCAGGGGAGACAATTCTTTAAAATTTTCTATAGGGGTGCCTGGGTGGTACATTCATTTAAGCAAACAACTCTTGGTTTCAGCTCAGGTCATGATCTCAGGATCCTGAAATCAAACCCTGAGCTGGGCTCTACACTCAGTGTGGAGTTTGCTTCAGACTCTCGGGGCGCCTCGGTGGCTCAGTTGGTTAAGCCTCTGCCTTCGGCTCAGGTCACGATGCTAGGCCTTGGAATGGGGCCCTGCGGTGGTCTTGCTCAGTGGGGAGCCTGCTTCTCCCTCTCCTTGTGCCTGTTGTTCCCCCTACTTTTGCTCTCTCTGTCAAATAAATAAATAAAATCTTAAAAAAGAAAAAAAAAACCTCTTCTCCCTCTCCCCATGCACATTGCTCTCTCTCTCTCTCAACTAAACAAATCTATAAATTAATAATAAAATAAAATAAGATATTTCTATAGAGGGGTGCCTGGCTGGCTCAGTTGGTAAAAGAGTGTGACTCTCGCAAACTAGAAGGTTGTAGGGCGGACTCCAGCTGGGGAATTGTGATCTCTCCATTCGCAGACCCAGTAAGATTTCGCTATGTCCTTCATATTTGACTGGATTTACAGTGGTTTCAGCAGTGTGCTACAGTTTTTAGGATTATATAAGAAAACTGGTAAATTGGTATTTCTTGGATTGGATAATGCAGGAAAAACAACATTGCTACACATGCTAAAAGATGACAGACTTAGACAACATGTCCCAACGTTACATCCCACTTCAGAAGAACTAACCATTGCTAGCATGACCTTTACAACTTTTGATTTGGGTGGACATGTGCAAGCTCGAAGAGTGTGGAAAAACTACCTTCCTGCTATCAATGGCATTATATTTCTGGTGGATTGTGCAGACCATGAAAGGCTGTTAGAATCAAAAGAAGAACTTGATTCACTAATGACAGATGAAACCATTGCTAATGTGCCTATACTGATTCTTGGGAATGAGATTGACAGACCTGAAGCCATCAGTGAAGAGAGGTTACGAGAGATGTTTGGTTTATATGGTCAGACAACAGGAAAGGGCAATGTATCTCTGAAGGAACTGAATGCCCAACCCTTAGAAGTTTTCATGTGCAGCATGCTCAAAAGGCAAGGTTACAGAGAAGGTTTCGTTGGATGGCACAGTACATTGATTAACAACCACTTGCATCGGTTCCAAGTCTCATCCTTCAGGCCTACTCAGAAATTTGATCCACTCGCCATGCATAACTTGAATTCAATAGACTTTTGTTGGTTAGAACAAAGATTTTTTTAGATTATTAATATTATATCAACTTAATTTGAGTGCAAATTGAAAACTGATTCAAGTTTGAGTATCACAATGTTAGCTTTCTAATTCCATAAAAATAGTTTATACAGTTTATAATCTGACATTATCCCCAGTGCCATTTATAAAGAACAACTTTCCAGCAGTACATTTGAAGCACTTTTATTTTTTATTTTTATTTTTTTTAAAGATTTTATTTATTTATTTGACAGACAGAGAACACAAGTAGGCAGAGAAGCAGACAGAGAGAGAGAAGAAGCAGGCTCTGCACTGAGCAGAGAGCCCGATGCGGGGCTCGATCCCAGGACTCTGGGATCATGACCTGAGCCGAAGGCAGAGGCTTTAACCACTGAGCCACCCAGGCGCCCCTTGAAGCACTTTTAAACAACATGAAGCTATGAATACAAACCATGTTTAAAAGCTCATCATGTTAAGTTTTTATGACTATTTTGGAACTAGTTTTTAAATTTTAGATTATATGTCCACCTATCTTAAGTGTACAGTTAATAATTAGGTTATTGATGATTGCATGATGCCTTACAGTTTTCAATAATATCTTTTCTTATGCAAACATCATGCAATAAAACACACCCTGATGTTTGGCAAAAAAAAAAAAAAAAAAAAGGAGTGTGACTCTCAGTGCTGTGAGTTTGCCCCCCTATGTTGGGTGTAGAGATTACTTAAAAATAAAAATAAATTTTAAAAAACTTTAAAAAATAATAATAAAATATTTAAATAAAACAAACAAAAATTTAAAAAATAAATTTGATAGAAGGAGGAACTAAGACATAAAATTAAAATGATTAAGAGGAAAGGAAGTCTTGTGAAGGGTTTCCTTTTTTCACTTAATCGTTTTTCTTATTAATTACACATTCACTATAGAAAATTGTAAAGTGCATAAAAGGATGGAGAAACAGGAAAAAAACTTTTATTTAACATAGAGCATATTCCTTGTGATCTTTTTTCTATACATTATTTTTCCTTTACCTGGATGAATTATCTTGAATATACAATTCCATGTTATAGTTTTTTCCCCCCAACTAAACACGGTTTCCTAAGCATTGAAAGGGACTTTTTTTTTTTTCTCCTTCTCCCTCTTCTTCTTATTCTTTAATATGAGAGACACTTGAATGGCCAGTCAGCTTCTGTCCTCCCCTCCCTCCCCTTGGGGTCTGATTTTTGAGCAAACAATTTTGTTTGGAAGATAGTTCTGTTCTTTGTGGGTGAATAAAAAAAAGCTGAACAACAGAAGAATCAAAAATCACTTTAAGGGGCGCCTGGTGGCTCAGTCCTTGGGCATCTGCATTTGGCTCAGGTCATGATCCTTGGGACTTGGGATCAAGCCCCACATTGGGCTCCGTGCTCAGCGGGGAGCCTGCTTCTCCCTCTCCCACTCTCCCAGCTTGTGTTCCCTCTCTTGCTGTCTCTCTCTCTCTCTCTGTCAAAAAATAAATTAAAAAATTTTTTAAAAATCACTTTAGGGGCAGCTAAAATTAGGAGAGGGATGTTCAAGACATCAAGGCCCCCTGGGGAGACTGTGAGTATGAGCTGATCCCAGGGTTATAGTCAGTTTGGAAAGAGCAGGTTTTGGGGAGGAGGATGGGGGATGGGGTAACTGGGTGGTAGACATTAAGGAGGGCACTTAATGTAATGAAGACTGGGTGTTATATGCAATTTGATGAACCACTAAACTCTACCTCTGTGACTAATAATATACTATATGTTAATTAATTTAAATTTTAAAGAGTAAAATTTTTTTTTTTAAAAGAAAGAGCAGGGGAACTAAGGGGTGCTGATGCCAGGCCTGCCAAGGGCCTGATAGCTGCCGCAGACAGCTCCAAGCATTTGAGAGCTGTACAACCTCCCAGGTCCTATTATGGACCCAGTTTAAGGGGAAAGGTTAGGAACTTGCCCACGTTCACACATCTGTCCATTGGCTCAGTTGGATTTGAACATAGGCCCTTGTGCTCCAGAACCCACGCTCTTCATTAATCCTACCGTGGAGTCCCTGTTCCTGGCTGCACATAGAATCACTTGAGGTTTTATAAAATACCTATGCCAGGGCCCCACCCCAGATGAATGCAGACAAGATCTCTGAACACAGGAGCACCTGGCTGGCTCAGTCGGTTCAGTGTCAGCCTTCAGCTCAGGTCACAATCCCGGGTCCCTGAGATCAAGCCCCGAGCCCCGCATCAAGCCCTGCATCCTGCATTGAGCAGATGCTCCACCCCCACCAGTGGGGAGTCTGTGCTTCTCCCTCTGCCCCTCCTGCTGCTCATGCTCGCTCTCAAATAAATTTAAAAAAAATTTTGTTTTAATTTAAAAAAAGAAGAAGAAGATGATGATCTCTGAAGATAGAGTCCAGACATGAATATTTTCTAAAATGTCCCTAGAAGGGGTACCTGGGTGATGCAGTCAGTTAACCATCAGACTCAGACTCAGTTTGGGCTCGGGTCCCAACCTAAGGGCCATGGGACTGAGCCATGCGTCAAGCCCTGCCTCAGGCTCTGTGGAGTCTGCTTCAGATTCTCTCTCTCGCTACCCTTTTCTCCTTCTCATAGGTACTCTCGTGCTCTCTCTGTAAAATTAATAAATAAATCTTTAAAAAAAAAAAGATGTCCCTAGAGGACTCTAATGGCCATCCAGATCTAAGAGCCAATCTAATCCTTACTCAGTGCCATGCCATTTTAAACACTTTGTACTAACCTACTTAATTCCCACAAGGTTGGTACAAGTAGTGTCCCCATCCTAAGATAGGAAAACTGAGGTTGCATAGCTGGCAAGTGGTAGAGCCAGAATCTGGACCCTTTACCTCAGCCTGTGCTATGGCCTAACCATTCTGATTTCCTGATACTAGCTGCTCAGAGGACTGAAAGGGAAAGAAGCTGACATTGCTTGAGCCCCTTCTCTGTGTCTGCCACTGTGCTAGGAATTTCCTATAGATGAAATTCCAGGTAAGGAGTGTTACCGTCATTTTCCAGAAAAGGCAAGACACTCGGTGAAATTAAGTGGCACACTCTGGGTTGCAAGGCTGAGAAGCAGCTGAGCTGCCATTTCCAGTGGGTCCATCCAAAGTCCAGGCTCTGTCCAAGGACAACTTTTCCCCCTTCTGTGGTATCACATCCTGCCCATGCCAGAGGTTGAAATCAATGCCATCAGAACCGGGAGTGGAGTAGACCTACAGGGATTAGACCAGCTGGAGAGTTTGTGCCCTAACTGGAGGGACTGCAGCTCCTCTACCAGTCTGCTAAGGAACCAGAATGTGGGCCTAGTGTGTCTTGGCCATCCAGTTTGGCAGAGGAAGTGGAAATCCTGAGTTTTATTTGCTATCTCTGGATTTATTTATTTATTTTTTTAAACTTTATTTGGGGTCCTGGGTGGCTCGGTTGGTTAAGTGACTGCCTCTGGCTCAGGTCATGGTCCCAGGGTCCTGGGATCAAGTTCCATGCCAGGCTCCCTGCTCTGCAAAGAGCCTGCTTCTCCCTCTCCCTCTGCCTGCCACTCCCCTTGTTTGTGCTCTCTCTCCTCCTCTCTCTCCGTCAAATAAATAAATAAAATCTTAAAAAAAAAAAAGATGTTATTTGAGAGAGAGAGAGCAAGAGAAGAGAGTAAGAAGCAGGCTACCCGCTGAGCAAAGAGCTCGACTTGGGGATCGATCCCCGGACCCTGGGATCATGACCCGAGCCAAAGGCAGACCACTTAACTGACTGAGCCACCCAGGTGCCTCGATATCTCTGGATTCGTAAGTGTCAATAACCAATTTCAAAAAAACAGAAAATAAAATTTCAAGCATCTTCTGAACTCTACCTTGCCCATCTCTGAAGAAGTATGGCATATTGGTCCCAGGTGGCAGTGTCTGATTTCTCTTCCCAGACACCAGCTTCCAGCCTGGAACAGAGCCTCCAGCTGCCTGACCAGCTACTTATTTGGCAAAGTCAATATGTCCACACCACATTCATGATTTCTATCCCCACCTCACCTTAGATCCACCCCCCCACACACACCTCTTATCTCCTTACCTCGGAGAATGGTACTTCCATCACTCAGTCACCTCCCAAAGACCCCTCTACTACCACCTCCTCTCTGAATCCCACCCGGTCCACACCACCATCATTACCTGTCTCTGCTGCCTTCTAGCAAGAACCTCTTGACTGGTCTCCCCACTTCTTGCCATGCTGCCTCCCAGGCTCCGCTGTTACCTCCTCCAATGGCCTCTCTTCCCCTTAGAATTAACATTGAACTCCTCATCATGGTCTACAAGACCTTGCATGAGCTGGCGCTGGGATCTCCTCTGGACTCTTTTCCTGTCACCTTGCTCCAGCCTCCCTGGCCTTCTCCAAGTTCCTCCAACACAAGGATTTCATTACGTTTGCCTGTGCTGTTTCCCCACAGAATCCTGTAATGTTCTTCTCCCACATCTTTACCTGGCTCTTTTCCATGCTGCAGGCCTCACCTCAGCTCCTGGGCCAAGCCTGCCCTGTTCTCACTGTCTCCCGTCACCTTGTTCCCCAGACACTCTCTCTCATATCTCCTTTATAGCCCTTACTAACGCTGGCCACAGCCACATCTTCTTCCTCATTTGTATCCACTTCCCTCCCCCTCCTCTGCTTCCCTTTCTACTCCATCCCCCTCTCCAGCCCTAATCTGCCACTCACAAGCATATATATCCTGTAATGGAAACCCCTTGAGGGCAGGGACAAGGTCTGTTGTATTCAACTTCCAAAACAGAGCCTGGTGCATGGAGAGCTCTCAAAAAATATTTATTAAGGACTGCCCACACTTTTGTGTCTACCTCCCTACCCTCACAGATTACCCTACCCTCTGCATCACATTCTCAGAAGCCAGAACCCACTAACAGATGGGGAGTGAA